ATCACTTGACTTATACCATAGTGCCATTGGTGTACGATAAATTTCTTCCCCTATATGTAAGCACAAATATGTATGATCGAGGACATTGTTTACTAGGTGCCGTAAGCGGTACTTAGGAAATCTCAAAAAGTTATGCTTGGTGTAGAAATAAATTATGAATGTTAAAATTATTTTAGGACGAGTAATTATATTGTAATACAATTTATAACGAATACTTATTCATGCTTTTACACATATATCTTCGAGGCAGTGTTGCGGTATTTTGTATTTACTTTTCACGTTCTATTATTTAATTTAAATGGGCAATGTGATACATTGATGCGATATATAAATTTTCTTAACAATATTTAACAAAATATATGTCCAATACCAAAAAAAAAATATACGAACAAACAAAGTATTTTTAAAAGTATGAACAATAAAATTCCATTGAATGCACGATATCTTCTTTTAATCGGATTTAATTTTTTCTTTTCCATTAGCGTGATATTATTCTAATAATATAACATACAAATACTTTTTCAACTCTTTCAACATTTTGAAAATTATTATATTTCATATAGATGGTCGAATAATTGAGTTCTCAATCTTTTAATATGCTTTAATGTACATTACAAATCTGAAAATTTATAAAATATTTATCTATTAAAAATATAACTTAAAATGACATATGAATGAAATATTTACTTTAGTGCAAATTAGTACAATATATTATTAGGCTAACAATCATATATTATCACGATAATTTGCTATTATCTCTATGAAAAACGTCATTATATACATTTTTACGGTGTGTATTAGGTTTTTTAAAGCACAAAAGATGTGATACTAATGCATTTTTTAATCGACGTGTTACTGCATAATAGACCATGATTCCTTCGAAGCCTGAACTTTTGCCGAGTCGTAATTGTATGTAAGTTTGTATGAAAGAAAGGATAATAAAACGACTCGGAGCTTAAAGAAAGAGAAGAATGGAGTAACATATTATAAATCATCGTATCGTTAGTTGTGCGTAACATCATGCACAACAACATTCATGATGCGTAGTATTTCTTGATTTTTTGCAATTCTTATTATATCACATTATATTGTATAGATAAAACGAACATAATATGTACTTATTTTAGTCCCTTCTACTTTTGACTTTTATTAAAATAAGGGAGATTTTTGAGGATCCGGTTAAAGTTATTATATTACGTACAACACGCTACATATATTTTTGGAAGAGATTAGAAAAAGGAATATAATTGAAAAAGTGTTGTAAGTAATTGGCAAAATTGAAGATAGAAATTTTATAAACACATCGTTATTCGATGGTAAAATTTTAAAAATTCCTTCTAATATTAAGCGTAAAAGCACTTAGTTAAAAAAAAGTTTTACTTTATGCTTTGCAATAAATCTTATCACACACCATAATTGTTTCCGAAAATACAATGGCAAAGAGAATTCTCGAAATTCTTTGGTGCTACGTCTGTTAAGGTGACTGCTATTACAATCGTTATTACAAAAACGTAAACGAAAAATTCCATTAGTGAACTTTGATATAGTGGCCCGAAATATGCTAAATAGGTTAATTATTTTTTTTCTTTGCATAAGAGTACTCTCGTATTTTATCAGTAGGCGAGTTTATGTGACTATGAGGTACCAGAAAAATTCTGGTTAATAAATAATACGTACGTTTCAAATATTGCTTATTTTTATCGTATTCCAAATCGGAATACGATTACTTATTTAATTTCCTTATTACATAACGTAATGACTCCTATATTATTGCACATAATGCGGAAGCATTTATCGCGCAAAGTAATTGATAAACAATTTTTATGATCATCATGTCTAGGCATTATTTATCGCATTAATTATAAGACGACTCGTAATGAAAATACGACTAATAAATAAAAATCCAAAAGCAAAGTATCGCTATCTAAGCCATTAAGTACCACTCGATCGAGGCATTATCATAGGGTTAAAGAAAAATGTCAAATGCGGCCAATGTCATTAAAGGAAATTCGTCTAACGATGTGCAAACGATGCCCATAGCGAATATTTTCCTATCTTATAGTCAACATCGAGCTCAATCAGCATCATTAATGACCCGGAATTATTCTCAATTCATTAAGCAGCGATTTGAAAAGCCACAGCGCAATTAACACGTAAGCCATGAGATTTTCAACGGAACGGTGGAGAGCAGCTGTCTCGCTTCAACAGCTGTCGCTCACATTTATCACAATCTCGTGAGTATCGGACCCCGTGCATTGCCCTATATACAAAGAGCGACTCGACGATTCTGTGGTACACTCGTGTCGGTTCATTGGACGAGAGCGAGCGCTTAAAGGCCCCTTTTCCTCTTACGAAATGCGGCGGCGCAACTCGCGTCGGGGACTATCCTTGCGAAATGAAAGTAACTTGTGTCGAGGCGAGTGGCGCGTTCGGCTTGGCGCCAACTTAAGCGCTTCGACTTGATCGCCGCCTGCCCCGGGAATCGAGATATCCAGAGTTTATCGTCGATTTCCCAGCTCAGCTCGGACCTGCGGACTCATTTTCGAGAACTGTACATCATCTCTCTCTCTCTCTCTCTCTCTCTCTCTCTCTCTCTCTCTTTTTCTTTCTTAGTGCGTACGCACTCCTAAATGGACGCGGTACTAAATATCCGTTCATACTAGGTCGCTCGAATCTAGCGTGTATAGGCAAGAAAATACAGGCGTGGATGAGGCTTCGATGCCGTGTCAGTTTGTTATTTATTTTAGATTGTCGTTAGGGTTTTGCTGCTGCATCAACATAATGAATATTTTTATTAATTAGCTAATTGATCGAGCTAATTTTCATTTAGAAACCTGTGATTGATGGTGATTTCTTAGAGAAAAATACCCACGAGAATTATGGTACTAAGACACCGTTTACTGTGGTACTTCGTTCTATTAAGGGAGCAAATGTTACTATGTCTTTAAAAAGTTTCTGACAAATGCAATAAGAAATATACAATTTTATAGATTTAATGGATTTGTAAATTAACTTAAAATGGACAATATAATCTCTTTGAAATTGAAATATATGCAACCTTCTGCTCATTAATTTCCACATAATTATGGAAAATATATCAGTATTTATGTGCTTTTAAACAATTATTATCGCTTGAAAAATGTTATTAGTACGTCAATATTTAATAATTTTTAATAATAGTAATATTATTTTTATTTACTTAATGCCATGTAATTTTTATAGATTTTAAAAATCTTACGTCTATTACAATTAATATACTTTTGACTTTTTACCTTTATCTCGTTATATTTAAAATTTTATTAATTTGACATTTAATATTATATTTCTGTTTTTCCAATGTAAATATAATCCATCGAAAAACTGTATAATTACTTATTGTTCTAATATTAAGGAAAGCACATGATTTCTTTTGTGTATTTTTATCTTTACAATACAATTTTCGATAATATCTATTTTGTCACTTTCTCATTTAAATATTGTTTTAAATATTTTATTCCTAAGTTATATTTATCTATTCGTATTTGTATAATATGATTATATAAAGATTGATGTACATTATATCAGAATTTGGAATGAGTTACTTTATTATGATGTGATTACATATAAATCTTAAAACTTTAGATATGATGACAACATTTTTTGTAACTTATAACATAAAGAAAAAAATAATCTATAAAATACATTTAATTAAGGTTGATTTTATTGTTCATTCAGTATTTTATTCGTTCCCTCTCATTGTATTTTATCTACTTATCACTCTTTTGATAAATTAATTTTTTATCGACCGTTTGCTTTTATTATAATTATAATATGATTGTACTTTTTTTTCTCTCATCCTTCATTGCATTATCATTATTCATACGATACAAGGTGTTCACGAATCACAATTATGATATTTAAAAAATTCAATTTGTATGCAGTAAGATTTTATATAGAATTGTATGATTATAAATTATTACATAGAAATCTACTTGGAGTTAATTAAGCATAATATTTCAATAATACTTTCACCATAATATTTAGACATATTAATTGAAATATATTTTATTGTTAGCACTCGCTTATAAATATCGAATAGTTTACTACAATGATTTACTCACATACCGATCATACTATATAAATGTGTTTCGTAAGCGATTTTAATCTATGGCATAAATACTTCCAACTAGAATATCTCCTCATGTACGTTCCTTACTTATTATTTATTTCATTGTTATTTTATGTATTTAAATTATATTTAATTCTGTTTCAATTATATTGTTCGAACTGTGCATTATAAATTAAATGGTGTTCTTGAGAAAATTTTTTTTATTTTGATTTAATTATTTAACACCAATTCATCTGAATCTTTGATTTGATCGTGGTTTTATTTACAAAGGTATAACGCAACTAATCCACAAAATGGTTTATTTACCGTCCCTATTGTATTGTATAATTATTTTTATAAGTGATTATGATTGAGTCATTAAATCACTCTAAAATTTGTATTTTGTTTCTCTAATTATTTTAAATCTTAATAAGAAAGATAAATTACATAAATAATTGTTGGATTAATAATTTTCAATAAGTGTTTCAATTACGTTGTCATTGATTAATACATTTTTAATATAGTTCATAGTAAATGGCTAAAGTATCTTTGTAAAATTCATAAGATTTTTAATACATTTCAATGAATATCGATACACATAAGACTTTCCTTTCCGCAATTTTATTTTATTTTTTTTTATTTATTTTTTGTAATGTTTTATAATGAGTCTAATCGATTATACGTGCTGACACTAGATGAGATAATATGTTCACAACATATGCAGCCGTACTTGATCATTGAACGGAAAAGCAAACGAAGCACTCTACAAGTCCCTTCTTATATTTATCAATGAAGAATCTGCGATTAAACTGTAAAATCTTTTTATTATTATGCAAAGAATGCAATCGTCTTCCTCATCCATTTTCTTGCTTATATTCCCTTATAAATTATTATAAACATTCAATTATTTCAGATTAAGATCGCGGTGCAATTTTGCATAGATAAATCGGCAAATACCATCTTGTGCACGCCCAGCAATAGTGAAACTGGAAGTGATAGCGCTGGTAAGGAGAACATGACAATCTTTTAAACTCAACCGTTCACTCGTCACTTCTTGAAAGAGAATCTAGGCCTTTGTTGGTCCACCTACGTAACGTCATGGAGACCGAGGAGCTCACGAAATTGGTCGACGATATTTATAAGGTATGTAGAATGTTGGATAGCCTTTTGTTTCGTATAAGTGAATTGCTATGAGCATACGTTATTGGACAATGTATAGTGCTCATTGATTTTCGTATTTTGTAAATAATTTTAATAATTTTGAGAAAATGTATTTGTATACGTTGAGATTCAATCACTCGACAGCCTCATTATATCAAATAAATTATATAACGGGATGTTCTTTAAATTGGCTCTATTAATTATTTTTAAAATAATATAAGGTAAAGGGTCAAAGATATTATAAGTGCTTTCGTTGGGATAGGTAAACGTGTTAAGTAGTGTTAATGAGTTATGTATGTCAAGACAATGCATGACGATATACATTCTTTTTACCGGAATGTTTAATAGAAGTGCTTTTTCATTCTCCGTATGAAATAGCATTTTAATCACCTCTATTTTTCTTTAACCTTTGAAGAATATTACACTGCGAAAATGGTAAGTCTTTATTAAATACTGTTTCTACGTGATACCGTTTTCTTTAGCACGAAATAATTAAATGTTAAATATTTATATTTATACTTTTATACAAGTTTCATTCGAAAAATATGATTACTCTATATGATAACATTTTCTTTTAGATAAATTGATCTTTGTAATTATCATGAAAATGGTAAAATAAAATAAAATAGGTCTTTTTTGCTAAGAGATTTTGAAAATTGTTAGGGTTCGAATTTACCATATGACATATTTCCTACTTGTCTCTATTTATTCAGTATCTGTATTTATGACGTTATTTTCTCTCTATTGTCAAATTTAAATTAATTGTTAAAATTTTGTTTACGTATAGCAAAAAGGAAAGATTTTTACTAACTTTTATAATTTACTGTCAAACTGTAAATTAAAATCTTCGACCAATCTATCACATCCATAAGGAAGAAATTTGATCTTAGTAACCTAATATCTATAATACGCAAAATGTTTAAATTTAAAAAGACTTTAAAAAGACATTATCCAAAGTTAAATATTATTCAACATCCCCGTTATGTTTATATCTTCAGTTTCGATAGATCGGTCTTTTATATCTTAAATAATTAATGCCCTTTTTCACCATTATTGACAATGCACGTAAATCCGTAAACGCGTTTAAGATCAGCCAGAATATCTCATTGCCAAAGTAAGGCTGGGATGATCCTTATTCGCAGAGGATCAGCGGTGCACAATGCAAGCGAGCGAGACGCCGGCCAAGATACGATCTTCGGAGTATAATGATAATCCTGACTCACCCTCGCCGCGCCTCCCGATAACGATAGCGGAAATGCCTCCCTTGAATGGAGTTACGCCAGGCGACTTCGTGTATACAGACGAAAACCAGTTAGGAGGGCATCACAGGGTCCGTAAGCGTCAGCTGTAGGTGCGTAAGAGGATGAAAAGGGGATAAATTGAAACCTGGTATATGTATGGCACTGGGAGGTTCTATTATGAGCATCATACTTGATAAAATACATGCAGAAAATGGATTTTCAAATTCACAGTAGCTACTTGCAATTCTATATTTACGACTACTAATACTTTCATCGACCATTTGTTATTTAATTTACCAACGATGCATACCAATTGAACGTTAGAAATATTTTTATGGATATAGTCAGGTTCGTTATACATTTTTCAATTAATGATTACTTCAATTTTACGTTAAAACGTCGCTCCATTACTCTGTAAAGGTAAGTGATAATTGCATAAGTGATAATTTGCTAGAGTTTATTTTTTGACTATTGATTCATTCTAAGCAACTCAAGAGAATAAACGAGTTACATGCATTTTATTATCATTCAAAATGCCTCGAAAGATTATTATTGCTTATTTAATAATTGTTATTTAAGAAAGAATTACTGTATTCTGGCCATTAAATGTGCCTTTACGTTTGAGCAATCGTTTATTTGAATGATTAAAAAATGTTCGTAAGATTACATTATTCCAATCGCTTATTACAAATAACATAATTTTAAACGTGCATCTAAAAAATGTTTTAATTTATGATGAAAATTATTTAAAAAGTCAGTAACGATCAAATTGGATCTAATATGTACATGTATGTGTACATTCTATCAATGCATTAAGAAATACAAAAATTATACGTTTTATTGTATTTATCGAAATTATTAAATAGTAGTTTCACAACATTAACAAGCACTTGTGCATTGAATTATTATTCCGTTGTACCAACAATATTTTAGTTTTTACATATTTATCTTATCACTGGTAAACATATAAATATAATTTTATAAATATATAATGTAGATGCAGCTAGTAAATAAAATTAATTTATATTTTCTCTTGTCTACTGAGAATAATATCAATACGAATTTTCATGGTATTTAATGAAATTAAAGTCTAATTGTACTACAGTCTTTGAACTTATTATCATAATTTTGTTAGTTAAATTATTCACTATGTAGGCTATGTAAACTTATATGATATGATTCCATACTATAAAGTATAATCATGGTTTAACTTAGAAATTGATTTATTGTTCATAATTTTTTTATATATTACTAAGTAAGAACATCATACTATAAATTACAAAAGGTTATCTTATATTTATTTAAATATACATTTGAATTTTTAACATAAAAGAAGAGAATTTCGTCAAAAATTAATATTACTTGGGCTATTGTAATTATTTTAACTTTTATATTATCAATTTTAACTCTTATTAACATAAGATGTCAAACATTTATAATCATATCGTTGCATATTTAATACAATTTAGTGTATTTAGTAATTTTTTATCTTTCTAAAAAATTCATAAGTATAAAATTATGGAACTATAATTAATATAATTATTAACTAATTCATCTACTAGTCAATTACTCAATATTAGTACTATGTAGAAGATATGAGAAGGAAAATTTGATTCATTGATAAACGTATATTTCAACAATTATTTCCAAAAAATAAAAAAATAACAAGCGAATTTTACATAGAAGAGTTCATGATAATAATGATAACTAATAAAAACGTAGCAAATAAAATGAATTCAACATTGAGTTAAAAGTCGAAGGAGCTGGTATAGGAAACAACAAATGAAAAGAAATTAAAGGGGCATAGAACAAATTTCAGAGAGAGAGAGAGAGAGAGAGAGAGAGAGAAAGACAGACAGACAAACAGACAGCCAGACAGAGACAGAGAGAAATTAATGTAGTGGGAGGGAACCAGAGAATGCGATATATGTGAGAATCAATATCGATCTATAATGGCTTTTCCCAAGGGTTGTACGTGTACCTGAGGTCGACATAGAATTTCTCGATAATTAGGTGTCTCCTCGGAAAATTATTCGTGGTGCTTTAGTAGTTTACTGCTACTGCATTACAAGTATATTTTCACTTTCTAGAATATGCACAAAAGACTGGAAAAATATTAGTTTCCAAGATATAAGATATAAATAAGCTATAGAAAAACTAATTATATCATTCTGGGATATTTCACTTTTAAACTTTTTGTGAATAATAGTTGTTAAAAAAATTTTTCATCCTTTCTTCTGTCACTTGATCGGAATTTGTCATGCTTAAATCATAAGTATAAGTATCCAATTGTGTCGTTTTGGAAAACGATAGATAAGAGTTACATGCATAAATGACTGATAAAGCAGCGCTGAAAAAGGAAAAACATATTAATAAAAAACTTAGCGAATATTTATTGAACACGGTTTAGTAATTATTATGCATAAAAAATGATGAAATATTTTATTATTTTTTATTTATTTTTCAGCATATACAAATCGCTTTAATATTTAAAAGTATTCTAGTATTAAAGTTATTTCAAATTGCTCGCATACATTTAGTACTCATATTAATTGCAAAATTTTTACAAAGTATATTTTCAATTCGATATATTTTTATTTAATATCTATGGCAAATAAAATACATTTTCAAATTAACTTGATTATAGTTTAGATGATTTTTCTTTAAATAAATAAACTAATATTTTTCTAGTCCTATAGAATCTGTATAATAAGTTTTTAAATAAAATTTTTTGAAAAATGTTTTCTATAAATAAATTCTAAAAGAATTATATATATATATCTCTAATAATCTATAAAAATCTAATAATCTAATAATCTAATAATATACATAATATTTCAAATTCAATGAAAATAAGAATTTGGTATTAGTATATAAAGTCCATGTAATAATTATTGTCGATTGCATTCGAACGCATTCACTTAATTCAATTCATAAATTTAAAATGAAGATATATAAATCTTTATTGTATTATGTATATATTCTTTATCTATTTGATTATAATAAAAATGGACTTTCAATATTAATAAAATTATTAGTTGATAATAAAATAAACATTAACACAGGCTTAAAAACTTAAAGCTCATTATCTCATTAATAATGCAAAATTTGAAATCCTGGGACTTGTGTATCCAAAGGATTGAATACCACTTGAATTCAGTGCTGAATTAAGAAACGCGAAGCGAATTAATATTTGATTCGTGCATTTTCGTTCTCTCTTAACATAATACAGAAATGTGACATTCTGCATTATAATATACTGTTTGGCTTATAAAATAAATGTAATCAATGCTATACAATTTACACTACTGCAATATTTAGTAATGAATCGGTAATTTTTTTCAAATTAATTATCCCGAATGATATATTTATTTGAGGTTCGATATTATATAAATTTTCTGAATTGTTCCTATTAACGGCTGGACAAATAATCCGGTAATATGAATAATTACTATTATAATGTGAATTTTTCTGTAATATCAATCTAATCTGTGTTCAAAATTTTAATTATAAATTTTATCGATATTGTAATTTTTGTGACATATGATTATTTTATTTTTCTCTCTATATGTGTAAGTTATTGAACAACAATTATTATTAACAATAATTTATTTGATTAATATATATATATAAAAGAAATTAATGAAAAAATTAAATAAAATGTTAAGATTTATTCCATATTTATGTTAACAAATATTTAGCCAGTAAATTTATTATTGTTACATTAATTATTTACCTAAT